GTCTAGCCTAATATTTGAGTGTCCTGAGGCACATATCATGATCAATTAGCAAACCAGTGATACAGCTAGAATAAAAACAAAAGACTAAGTCAGAGCAGATGGCATGAAAAATTGATGGGGCACAGTGTATGTGAGCAAAAATACAGCTAATGACTCTTGGCAAATTAATCTTACTACAAACCAATCAGCTGCTCCAAGATTAATCCCACACACCAGTGTTAGGGCAGCCTCTGAAACAACACTATTGTTTGCTTTAACCACTTGTTAAGACATAATATCAAAATTGTTACAATGAGTTCACACTAACTGGATCTACCTGCCCTAGCATGAGGAAATACGGATGAATGAAGATTCTGCCAGCAGTGTGTACCATAGACCTCCAGAAGGAAATACGGATGAATCAAGATCCTGCCAGCAGTGTGTACCATAGACCTCCAGTATTTACACACTCAGGGTTTTATTTTGATAACAGAGGAAGGTAAGAGGTTTTTTGCAAGACTATGTCGAATGAGGTAATTGTCACAGGCCAGTCCAGGGTGATTCATGGTACCAGCCGTCACAACTGAGGATGCAGGGCAATACAGACCCATGAATGAATATGAATGGGCAAAGAACACTTGTACTATTATTTTACTACTACTGAAGTGCCTCTAAGTGTGGGCAGGATCCTCTTGTCTGGGGTGTACCAATTTGAGGAATAAACAGACAGCTTCAGTTTCCATAGCTGTTGTATTTCAGTCTCCCTGGGCAACATCTGATTTGTTTTCTGGAAGACAAGAGGGATCTAAAGCCTCAACCTTTTAGGTATAGGTTCTAAAGCAATATTTAAAAAAAAAATTCTACTGAAAAGCATACTCTATACAACATGACAAAATTCTATGACTATATATGATGCAAACAAATGCAATATTCTCATAAGCATTTAAACAGTTGCCTCTTTCCTACAAAAGCTACAGCAGCCAGCTTACCATCAATCCCCAGAGCTCCTTCCTTCTTGTTCTCCAGACATGGTTCAAACTTGCTGATGATTTCCAGGCAGTGTTCTTTAGTCACATTCGTCATCTGTAAAAGCAGCAAAAATGAAGTGTTAGCTAGTAAACACAGCTTCTCTTTGCTCTTCTGTCTGTACACAGTTTAACAACTGGTCAGATTATCCACAGTGGTACTACGGATCTGCAGTTACCCAGTGTGATTCTCACTCCTGTCAATCAGTGTCAGGTCAGATAAGAGCCAGACTGCTTTGTGAAAAGTTTCTGTCCTATTGGCAGCGGCCTGATCACAGCCAATAAAGACAGTTCTGCTTTGTAGGTCAGATCTGGTTAGAGCGGTATTAGGCACACAGCGCATCCAAACAGAACAAGCTTTGTCACAAACCAATGCGATTTTTTCTCTTGTAGGATTAAAAGATTAGTTTGCATTATCAAAGGGTTTTTACTTTAAAATACAACGTGAAAATGGTTCATCTTTATGCAGCAGACTGAAAAATCAGTTACTAGCAGGGTAACAGAGAATCAGGATATAATGCTCTCAGAAAGCTCCTTGATGGAATCTGCTAACTTAAAGGGTGCTTTGCATTCTCAACTGAAAAAGAAAAGAATACAAAGGGAACTACATCTTTGTAAATGTTAGCATTTATAAAAAAGGGACATTTTTGATAAGCTGTAGCTTTCTTTTTACTTTGCAATGTTTTCATAATTTTGTTTTAACACTACTATTTAATATTCCTTTTATTTACTGCTCATTTAGCCTCTAATTATTATCCCTGCTATTATTTAATACTCCTGTCCTGAGTGGTGCAGCAAATCCTTTCCATCAGATGCTGTATGTGACACATGACAATACAGCCCATGTCACCAGAGGGGACTGCCAATGAAGTGACCAAGCTGATGACTGTTCTGGCAACACAGAATCTTTGCTTCGGGGGAAATGAAACCATGAGCGTATCTGCTACCAGATCAATGCCTTTTCTGGGGGTAATTTAACACCTAATAAATAAATGTAAAATAATAAGAAGAAAAAACTGTAACCCCTTATTTGCCCATACATAATAGCTTTATCGGGTTCCAAAGAAAAAGCTCTGGAATAACAGAAGGTTTTTCTGGTACAGCTTCAAACGCACACGCGTGACAACAAAGTTCCCAACCCTTTGAACAGGCAATGCATCCCCAGCGGCCAACTGAAAGGCACGCAGGTGGGAAGTCTTCTCCTGGCTTGGGCCTACCTTCTGTTCAGTCTCCAGAAAGCGTCTCAGGTCATCTGTATCCAGGTAGTCCTTGTGGTTGCTGTAGGTGAGCATTAGCAGGTACAAATCGCGTCGTGTTGACATCATCTTGTAGAAGGCGCAGAACTCATCGAAGCCCAGAGTGCCCTGGTTATCGTCTGTATCAGCCTCCTGCGTTACACAGCAATACGGCAATGAGACACCCAATCGCCCAGCAACAGCCTGAACCAACCCTCAATAAACAAACTCCTGCATAAGAAAAAAGCAACACTGCAATTAAATGCAGGTTGATGCTGCCTGACGTGGCTACTCCCTGTACGGCCCGCTAGAACAGGTTGATTTAGAAGCCTGATGCTTGCCATACGAATGCTTTGCGCAGCTTTCCTTTTTGAACCTCTTAAACGTATGCATTAGTGCATGTGCCAAGAAACAACCTTTAAAGTCTTTATTGTTCCACAGGGAACCTTGCCTGAAAGATTTCTTTTATCTGTGGCAATGAAGTGAGACAGCAGAGCCTGCAACACAGAACAGAACATGCATATGTCTGGCAGAATAACCCATTCATGTTTCCTTGAGAAGATCACTAGAACCCAAATCATCTTGAAATTAATTTTTATATTCAGGATTTGGGAGCATATCTTCTCAATCTGTGTCCATAAACTAATAAGATCTGCAAGAACACTAATTCTGCAAGTAAAGAAAAATCATCAGTAAATGACACTCTATTGTCCCCCAACCATGGACAGCAGCACCGAGCAGCCTTCACAAAGCGCTTCCGTCCTGGCAGGCTGACGTCAACTTTTTAATTTCATGGCTGCTTAATATTCTGATTCTAAGTTATCAAATAGCAATTACATTTTCAGTTGGGACCAGCTCAGTTTCAATTACACATTGCATGTGGAAAAGCAAACCTATTCTTCTCTGTTAATCACATTTCTAAAGCAGCCAATATGTGTAGTAATTGTCATTGATTACAAACAGTAAAACCAGAGCAGAACATACAATAAGAGCAGATTTTTTTTTTTTGCAGGAAAGTTTTACCCAGAGTCTTTCATTTGGCTTGCACCAAACCTAATGATTCATCCTGTAAAGAGAGTCACTTTAATCTACACATTTTAATGAGTTTTTAAATTCAGTTCTTCACTGAGCTACATCTGTAAGCTTAGTATTTGCTGGTATGAAAAAAGACTGAAGGAAAAAAAAAAGGGTAAACCCTTCGGTTTTCTCTGGCTGTACATGCATGATTCTCAAAGGCTTTTGAGCCTGGAATGTGTCCCAGAACTGAATTATTAAAAATCCAGTGATCACTAGGCTGATTTTTTTACCATCGCGGACCCACAAAGGAATTGCACATCAGATACAACCAGGCAGGCTTCAGCATCAGCTGTCAGCAGGATGAAAGAAAGAGCAGCAAGAGATGCAAGTTAAAAATATTTTCAACCCAGAAGCAACAGAATAAACACATACAGCCATGGAAGAGAAGGAAGGTTTTAAGGCTCATTATTTCCCCAGTCAAACTATTCAGAAGATTTCCAAGTTACACTCCTTCCCCAAATTATTCTCTAACGTTCTTTTCTGCTACAGTTAAGCAGCCAAAATCGAAGGCCTTGAAGTGAGTCTATAAAGACTGTCCATGGCAGTTTTTACACTTTGGCAATACCAAAAGGATGACTTTTTTCAAAGTGGTCTTCTGGCCATGCAGCAACAGAAAAAATGTGTGTCCAGGCAGCTTCATTCCATAAGTACTTTACCAAACCAGAAAAAATAAAACAAGAAGAAAAGCTTTGGAAAATGAAGGCATGAACTTTAAGAAATCTTTACTCGGTCTTAGAATGATTTCAAACTGCCCAGGACTTGTACAATCTCAGTAAATGCTGAGAGTAAAAGATGGCTCAGTCTTCAAGTACCAACAGAGAACAGAATTACCTTTGCCTTGCCACAGATCTTTGTGACACCTTGGGCAATTCACTTATTCCTGCTTCAGTTTTGTGAAATTGAGCTTATTACATTACCCTAACCTAGGCAAATTTTACGTACTCAGCTACACACACTGCCTTGGACAGACTTAGACTGTCTAGAAAGCCATTGGTAGATAGGTATTTGATCCCTTTAATGCTACTGAAATTTCAGTATTTAGTTTTCTCTAAAACAACTTTGCACAGCCTCTCCAAGAGAACCTTTTAATTTCTTACCTTAAACATTTGCTTGACTTTTTGTCGGGGCAGGTTCACATTCAGTTTGTGCATTAGCTGGAGCACTTCACTAATACTCAGACTGCCATCACCGTTTTTATCTGCCTCATCAAACGTCTGCTTCAACCACATTGAACAAGAGTTAAGGAACAGTATGGAATATCAAGGGACACTACTGACCATTATGTATATACAATTTTTTTCATGTCAGGAAAGACTGTATACGAGGCTGGGGATGAAAGAAAGTCCAAGGTAATATATAACTCCACTCACGTTATTTCAGTAACAGTTTCTAGACTTGCTATGCTCACCATGCAACACACGCTATTTACCCACACTGCAGCACAGAAGAACCAAGTTCTGAGCGAGTTGCAATGTTGCATTACACTTTGTTCTGGACAGCTTTACACAGGCAGTAACAGATAAAAGAAAATACCTGTATGTTTTTCAGTCCACTCCAGTCATTCATCTCCAAATCCTGCCCAGAACAATCTTCTTCAAGGACCCCTCTCTGTCTCTGGAAACAGGGAATGCAATGGGAACTGCTTTGAAGTTTTGAGCCAGTGCTTACTTTTATCAAAACAAATACTTAAAGGAATCACTATGGTATTGATGGCTCTCCACCAGTGGGAAATACTGTCAGATAGTATGAGAAGGATATTGGTCTCTGGTCCTTTGGCGTTTTGAGAGGCTGTCTTCATCACTGATCCCTGCCATGAGATATTTTAGCCCTGTGATCCAGGTGCGTGCTTCCTCTCCACTGGAAGACACCAGGTCAAGAGATTCCATATGGTCTCCATAGTAGATGCTGAAGCAGCAGTTGGGATCAAAACTGCCATCGGCATAGCGCTGAAAGATCTCTGATTGCTTCCCCTCGCACACCTCCTGAATAGAGTCGATAGAAACTAGAATGACAAAAGCAGGCAGTTCATTAATGACCGTGTGCGTGCCCTAGGCCAGACAGGGTGCATTTATCCTGTAGAGAAAAGGCCCAAACCTCCCATTGCAACGTCCCCAATTCACACAGGTTTCGTCTGCAGCTCATTTACAACATCCTACACTACTGCATCCTGCACAGCTAACAACAGCAACTTAATCTTCATAAACTATTAATCATAAAATCTTTTACTGCCCTTTAAATTCAAGTACAACATTCTTCCCGATCACCTGTGAATGAACCAAATCCTTCATGCTCATCCGTTTATAAGAGGGCAAGACCCTAGGAGGAATCAGACGAAAGGTTCTGTGGTTGATACTCACTTTTGGCTTTCTCATTCTTTCGAGAAGGTCTCCAGCGAATACATGACTTGTGCTCATCCAGGTAATAGAAGCGGACCAGCCCTTTGGAACTGCCACGGAGTTTGATCATTTGGGTACCGGCTTGCATGGAACTCATACATCTTTCCACTAAAGAGAGAAATAAAGTGATATCAGTAAGTCAGACTTTGCTCTCTTTTAAAATCACCTTTACAGGAAGAAAACATATCACCAAGTTTTTTTCACATTTGTCTGTAAATTCTGCAGTTCCTGTCAGCAGTGTCACCATTTAGAAGTACCATGGCTTCTTATGAAGCAGTTTAGTTCACATTCTGTCTATCCAGAATCCAATTAAAAATGAAAATTAATTACCCAACTTGGTTATCAAGAGCGTTCTAGAAACCCTAAAAATAATTCAAAGGCTTTTACGTACAAACAACTTAAAAGCTAAACCATTTGCACTCCCTTAAAAGTTAACAGCAAGAAGGTGATTAGAATCCAGTGTGTGACTGCAAAGACAGAGCCAGCTTCAAAGACTACGTTCTCATAAAGTGGTCTGCAGTTAGGGTCAAGAGCAGAGTAATTTCATCAGGAAATGTTAGCAGGAAACAGAAACATAGACCACTTCGTTCCATTCTTGTGTTCTCACAAAGTGACACTAGACTGACACAGCAAAAATACTCGAAGTGATTTTTCATAATTCATAGTGACATTTATAGTTACTATAGAAAGTTTTAAAGTAGTTATAACTAACAAAACTACACAAATCACAAATCATAAATCCCTACAATTTGTCCTGATACAAGAAGAAAAAAAAAAAAGAGCCCTATTTCACGCTTATTGTTAGAAAGATGTTCTAGCGTCTGTTAATTTATTATTTATGGTTCAGTAGCATTATTGTCTTTTAGGAGTTTCTGGTTTTGATGTAAATGTGTGAAGGAGTGGGAGTATTTTAGCATGTGAGGATGAAAAGAAGTTAGAAGGATTGAGTCACTGAGTATTTTTATACATGGACCAGCTTTGTCAAAAGATGCATGTCCAAAGTTCAGCCCGGCTGCAGGTTGTCACACAGCGCTGGCCCCAGCCAGCCTTTTCTACCAGAAGGCCAGCATCTCACAGCTCTGCGGAGCTCTGCCCTCTTAACAGATTCTGACAAGACGCATCCTGATTGTATGCTTAAAACAACTGCTCTTCTAAATGCTGTTAGGAGAGGAAAATAGATTTCAGAGACTTATTTCCAGGGCCTCCAGAAGACACAACATGTTTGTGAGTCCAGAGAAACCCCCCCAGTATCTGTGCACTGTCGGGGCAAGCTGTTCCCTTGAAATATTCCCAAACCAGAACAGCTTTCCCACACGCAAACAGAAAAGTCCCACACTTGTCATACCCTCAGCACTGCAAATCCATTGAAGAGATAACAATTGCTGTGTGTTTTAAAAGTCTCACTGGAAATGGTTTTGCAGCTGGTTCATCCATAGGTAAACCAAAGAACTGACCGGCTCCAACTGTTCCTGCCAGGAATATCAGCTTCAGTTTAGACAGCACGCATCAAATCTTTTAAAAAATCAATACACAAATATAATAATGTGAAAACATAAAATATGTAGAATATATATAATATATCCAGTACAGTGCGGCGGGAATTCTGTTCAGCTGAAAAGTCTTGGAATTAGAAGATATTTTGAAAGTTCTGCATATGAACTGCACAACTGACTTCTGTGAGCTTTACAGTTCATCATACCACTCTCATGAGAAAAGCTCCCAGAATGCCACTTGTGACCCTGAAGACATTCGCTCAAGTACTGGTCTTGTCACCGAAGCTTTAATGTTAACTGTTGGCTACAGCAACCTGGTTTCGTTTCACTTTGCATACCTACAGCCTACAACCCTTTAAACCAACCATCTTATTACTAGTGCAAGAACTTTCTCCCCCTTATTTGCCCACTCTGACTCAAGCCTCACTAAATTTCAGAACTCTCTACTGTTCTTTTTGTTGGCAAAAAAAAATAATCTTAAAGTCTCTTTGACAATTTCTGTGTAATTCTGCCAGCAATGGTTGGGACAGTGATTGCCGCATACAAGAGAGAATGTGAGGCGGAACCCATCCTCAAAGCGTACAACCCGTAGTAAACAAGAGGTTAATGGCAGAAGAGATGCTCTTAATCCTGTGGAAATTAGGGTGCTTAATTCGAGGTCAGTCTGTCAGCTCTCCATCTCTCGGTTGAGACTTCATCAGCCATCTGGATCCTGGGAAACGCAGAAGCAGAGTAGGATGGCATTCTTGAACCTCTGCAAAAATTCCCATTAGTTTCTAAGCTATCTATACCTCCAATTCTTTTGTTAAAAAATATCTTTGATTGACAGACAAGTAGGACAACAAAGTGCTTCCAAGGCAACAGGTTCTGGTCCAGGTCACTACAGATTTCCTCACTGGACACCAGTGGCTCAGGAAGACTGCTATTAAAATGCAGTTACTAGAACAGGAACCATCTCATTTCTCTAGCCATTTCCAACCAGGTTTGCTGGGTTTATTACCTATTTAAAAGAAAGGCTGCTAAGAAGCAAGAAGGACCCTTCTCAGAGAGCTAGCCAAGCTTAAGGATTTTGCCGTTTTATAGCAGTATTCAGAAAATGACTTCTCAAGAGCCCAGTGACCTGCTACGGAAGAAGACAACAGAAATACTTCTCAATGCTCATTTCAAAGACTGAAAACTAACAATATTGCATGAAAAATCAGAGAGTTAAGGGGTGTACAAATTCTATACTATAGAAAATTTCAAAAGGTCTGCACATGTCAAAATGTACAGCTTTGCATTTGCTTTTCCAGAAGAATGTAAAGAAATCAATAATGAAATTTGAACTGACAGGTTCTTGTAGATCAAAGAACTGCACTAGCAACCATGCAAAACAGCATACGACTAGGGCTGTGCTCAAGTTCTTCCTTTTCTGTTTCCCCACACTACTGTTAGTTGCTACTAAATAAGATTTAAACAGGAAAGCTTTCAAGATGATACCATCTTGTTCAATGAAGTGGCAGGTATTCAGCCTGCATCTTACCAATACGGCCGATTTTCCATCTCGGAGAAGCTACAATGCTGCCACCAACCCAGAAAAATTCTTCAGCCAGTCTGGCCACTGAGAACTTGTTTTGAAGCAAGGGAGATTTTGAGGCATCCATATCTGAGCCAAAGGGCAGCTTTGGAATTGAACACAAGCACTGCAGGCCTTAGTAGAGATCAAGATTCTGTAGTACCCATTTTCAATGCAATAGCATAAAAATATTTTCAGGAAAAAACAAGATTCCAAAATCCAGTGATATTTTGCAGGTTGTTACAGAGCAGTTTCACAGTAAATTTAGGCCTCCTCCCCTGTCGAGATTTAGAATATTAAAATCCCAATAAAATCCTTTTTATTCCATGTGACGTACCTACGTGTCTGTTTTTGAGGAATGGGTGGGTTTCAGTTCAACATTTTAAAGAAGACACATGACGGACACAGCCAGGGGCACGAGGCAAGATGGCATGTAGATGAATCCATTTCTGGACAGAAAGGCCTCCCCGATGATATTCTTTTTCCTAGAGACTGCTAAGCATCCACCAAGACACTACACCAGTTTACACGTGTTGGCTTCTCCACGCCGCTTCCTCCTTCTGTCAGCAATTCCCACATAGAGGTACCCCTTTTATATATTTGATTTCTAACAGATTTGCAAGTCCCACTCTTGCTGAAGGCTCTACTTGCTCTTCAAAACCAACCAACGACATCCATTGCAGTACATAAGTGCAAAGTGAATAGTAAAATCCATTCCCCTCTCTGCCCTCCTGCGCCACCCTTGCCTTTCACTGGGAATCTGTCCAGGTGCTTAAGCTCTTCAGTCTCTTTCCAGGTCTGGAAAAAAAAGAACAATCACATTTTCTTCTCATACAGCTCTTCACAATATCATTGTACCAGTCTTCACCTTTTCCCAGAAGGTTCTCCTCTGTATTTTAATGAACATGCCTGATAAAAGAAAGAACATTTCTCTCTAGGCAGTAAAAACTAGATACGATGCAAACACAGTAACACGTTTGCTTGAAATCCTAAATCCATCATACGCACTAATCCTAAAGCCATGGTTCTGCCCTATCCAGTCAAGGGATTTAGATGACACGTTACAGCTGCAGGAAAAAAAAAAAAAAAGGTTAAAAAAAAAGTGCTTTCTTCTGTTCTTCGCCTGTGTTAGCAGCATCTTTCCTTCTCACAATCCATTTAGGAATGTCTTTGCAAACTGACACAACACCATGGAAGACACTTGCTTAGCAGACAAGCCAGGCAGCTGCACTGTGCAGAGCAAACGTTGCACACGGGAACCAGGAACGGTGAGGGTGCTTGAAAACCAACAGAGATCAAAGCAGGTAAGGATTAATTTTTAAAAAAGCACTAAGTCACTGCCTCATTCCATTTGAGATGCATCCATTAAACTCCAGATACAGAAATCTGTCATTTACATTATCACAACCTCTTCATCTACATTATATTTGAAGTACAATATCCAATTGCTCTTGCCATCTGTGATCTCTACAAGGAGCCTAAAATGCTTCTAACTTGATGAGCTAAACACAAATTGCTCGTTTAAAAACACGTTCATTAAGTGTTTTCTACTCCTCCTTTCACAGTTTGAAAAAGCTTTAGCGTAGTTAATTGTAGAGATGATTCACTCTCAATTAGAAGTTGTTTATTTCACCACCTACACCCAGAGATCTTCTATTAGGATGGACTCAGAGTTTAACCACAGATTAATTCCAAAAAAACCCCAAACTGGGTCTGCGCTAAGAGTCAACAGTGGCAATAATGCTACATACACTTGTGCCGTGTTCTGCTATCTATTCAAACACTTCCGCAGTAGCCTTCCATGCTCCTGAGGCATCTTCCAAGAGTAATTTAGTGAGACGACTGCAAATGAATTGTCACCAGAGGAGCAAATGCTTCTGTAAACTGCACATATAAAAAAAAGCGTTTATCCATCCAACAGAAAACTGCTACACAGAAGGCAAGAACCCATGAAGTATTGTTCTAAGGATTCTAATCCTTTTTTCAGAGGAAGCAATCTGATCTAGACCTAGGAAATGTGAGCTTAATTACCTGTGCTACCCCATGCTTCTCTGAATTTCTTAAATAAATCAGTGAACAGCTTTGTGGGCAATTTCCATGCTATAGAATAAGATCTTAGATGGGGAGAATGACATAGTTGTACCTCAGAAGGGAGGAGTTGCAACTAAACTTTAAGGCTCTCAATTACAACAAGACAGAGTTAAGGTAATCTTTTGCAACAAACCAAAAGTATTGCAGGTCTTTAGCTCCTTTTTTTTTTTTCCTTCTCTTGCAGCACTAATCAGAAGGACTCCTTGCAGTCTTCCAGGTTGTACATGCAACAAAATCTCAGTATTTGACACTCTGCGTGCTAGGCAGCAAAAGGTACTCCTTCTAAAATTCAAAAATTAATTCTGCAAGGACATCCTAGATGCTGCATTAACCATTTATGTGTTATCAACCTGGGGACAAAGGGAAGGGAGAAAACCAGTGAAACGTAACTCTGGTTGCAGCGTTGCCCAAGATACTAGTTTCACAGTTCAGAATTAGAACCCTGCACAAGCAGGACTCTAAATGTGGGTTTGTTTTTGTTCTAGCACAGAGAAATGGCAGTGATTTATAGCACCAGAAACGAAGAACTATTTCAATGTTCAAGTTAAAGTTAGATCTGTAATCCAAACCCCACCCATAGAAGGTTAATTTGAATCCTTTCAGTTGGCACTACCAAACCATCCTTCAGGCCTCCTAAGAAGATGATCACATAAACACAGAAAAATGAAATCTTTCAAACAGCCCCTCTATTTACTGAATGTGCTGAATGCTAGGTAACAGTGTGGGAAAGCAACAGGAAATAACAAAGGGTTAAACGTGACATAATCCCTCTCCCAACTCTTAAGCACACTGAGCTTAGTACTTAGGATATAAGCCTATTGAAGTGGGTTTCTATTCTTGCCTCACTTGACATCCTCAGAAAAATCTTGCTCACCTGACACAACATGCAGATTAAAGACTCCTTTCCATGGCATTTTAGAAACTTATTATTCTCTGAGTGTAACAAAGACTTTTCATGCCACAAAAATATTTGAAAACCAACAAAGCTTGAGTTTGCAGGCTGGTCTGCGGCTTAGCTGTAAGTGGAACTCAGAACACTCGATCAACAATGCTAGAATAGCAAAAGTAAAGCAGATATGTGCTTCAGGAATGGCAGAAAAGCCAGACTCCATCATACAGAGAAAGAGCATCTTGCAGAAGATACAGGAGTACAACACACATATGGTTTGGAAGATGGAGAAAAGTGAGTAACGTGGAGATCCTCCTGAGACAAGTGGGTTTACCTCTAATGCAGTCTGTCAGGATGGATGGGTTCCTTTCCAACACGCATGCTTTACTATTGAGGGAAGGAAAAAGTGTTAAAAATTATTTAGTACATGGGGAAACAGCTGTAGCTATTAAAGTAGAAAAGACAAAACTAAAAATATCAATGTGAGAAATTTCAATTCATAGGCCAGACCCTGATCTCTCTTTTGTCTTCTGTACGTCAGGATTCAAGCAGAAGACAAAACAGAGAAGCAACACAGGAGGCAAACCCGGCTCACAGCCTAGCGAGAAGCTCGAGTGTGCCAGGCAAAAGCAGGCACAGTTTCTGTGTGCTAGACCACAGCATTGTCCCAGCTGGATATAAACTGCCTTCTCCTTAATTCTAACGTAACCCCACTCTACTGACCTTTGGCATGGAGAGGCAGAGCTGCACTCTACTCCAGACGGCCAGACCATCTGGACAGCAACTCTAAGCACAGTAATCCACGCTCGAGATTAAAGCCACACATCTTGCCTGTGGCAAGTGGAAGCCAGGTTACATACTGGCTTCTGTTTCTCACCCGCCATGCTCCAAAGCTTAGTATTTTTGCACGGGCTCAGAATATACTCGGGTTATTTGGTTTGACTGACATACATCTGTCTCCAGAATGCATCAATTTACAAGGCCACTAATTCTGCTGGGAGAAACGGCAACGGCTGTAACTTTGCGTGCCCTGGTGCATCCTTCCAGTACCAGAATTCATGATGGGTAAGCCCTGAGACAGCTGTTTTAGCAAAGCAGCCACAAGCATGAGTATTTCCAGGGCCTTCGAGAACTGTTTATAGAGTCGCGTTATCAAAATAAACCTATCCTGAAATCCTTAAATTACTTTATTCATATGAAGGAATATTCGTGGAACTGGGACCCATTAGCAACAACAGCACTAATGTAATGACAACAATTATTTTGCATCCTTCTATGACATTAAGTTCTCTTGAGCTCTTCTGAAAAAAATGGTGCGATTCTTTTAATTACGTGAGAATAGGCTTTGTGTTTTGAGCCTTCAAGTATTTCCATTAAGGCAGGCTGTTTCTTTAACAGACCTATTAAGATTTTTTTGTGTCATGTTTTATCAATTAAACTATTGAAATATTAATTCTTTTCCACTAAAACATGCACCACCTTTGAGATATTTCTATAGTTTTTGCCTTCAATTATTGAAATGTAATAACAAGAGTCTACTAACAAACTCTGTTAAGAATTCTGATGCTGGTTTTAGCAAAGGAAATTCAACTTCTGAGATATCTTTAGTAAAAAGGATTTAAAAGCTATTTGAACTTTTTTTCTTGCAAAGCTGTAATAATGAAATTTTGTTGATTATAGAAAAATATCAGCATAAAATAAAAATTTTAAGACTGAAAATGTTGCTCTAAGGTCACCTTGTTTCCAGCCTCTGACTTGTATAAGAAAATGTCTCTGCACACTTAATTGAAGTAAGATCTTAAACTCTTTACATTTAAAGATCTTTCAGCACTTTACCATCTGTTCAGTGACGTGGGTCATAAACACTGAAAGGGAGATTAAGGCAGGTGGGGAGGGAAGAAATCCATCAATATTATTGAAAGCCTTCTATGAAAATGTCTCCAAGAATTCAAGAATCCAACTCAAAATTGGTACAAGAAAACAAGACAGACGGAAAGACATTTTAGAAAAGATGTGCTACTGAAATGCCAGTTGCTGTATATAAAAATCAGCATCAAATGCAC